ATACAGCACATTCGTCAATGGTACTCAAAATCTTCCGTTTTCACTGTTACACTTGTGCGAATCGGGAATTTTTGGAGAGAAAATATTAAAGTCGAAATAATAAGAATAGTTCATCTTAGAGGTACTACGGGATGCACTGATCTGTGCTTTTAATATCAGCATATTAATATTACGCTCAACTTTCGCTTAAAGAGGAACGTCATAGCCAAAGTTCCCTCAAAAACACCATTGTGGATGCGAGGTTAGATAATAAACAGATGCGTAATATACGAGTCTTCGTCTAGCAGTTTCAAGATCACTCCTTGGCAACTTTAAAAAGCACATATTTTACACTTAATTAGCTACGCTTGACAGTAATATTAAGAATAACATTTATTCTTCTACGAAATCTCAACTAATGTGTAAAAAGCATCGGGAGCTCACACAAATGATACTTCTAAATGTCATGTACAAAAACCAGTTCGAACTAGACTAATAAACAGGAAACCTGTGCCCAAAAATTACCCTAAATTTTGTTTGAAATTCAAACTGAATAAATATGTCATTGTTTAGCATTGAAGAAAATCTCTCGACATAAATTAATGAAATCTTACTATAATATAAACATCCTTTTAAAAGTTTTAGAATTAATACGTGTACTTGTATGAATCATAACCGTATTTTGACCACTCAAAACTGATTATGAATGTTTCATCGTTTTTATTTCGAGGGCCAGTGTAGAGCCATTAAGATTCTGAATGCGAAGAATTTAAAAAAAATTTACGGTGACCATGTAAAGCAGGGTTGTTCAATCCGAGGCTCGCATGCGGCCCCCCCCCAAAAAAAAGAGCACAAATGAAATATCAAGACTTCATTTCGATGATAAATTTTATTGTTACGGTCGGGTTCGAGTCTGGCTTTCAACACGGACGTATAGGTTATTTGGCACTCTAAGTTAGAGTGAAATAAAATGCGTTTTAAGTGGAGTGGCGTTTTCAAATTCTTTGAACGCATGCGCTAAGAGATCATCTTAATTTTGATACAGCATTTGTATTTGTTCGTTTCGCCAAGATGAGGATATCAAGATTAGTATTTCCAGCCTTTCTCTTCTTCAAGCTCCAATGGATACCAGCAATGCCATATTTTCAAGTGCTTCAAGGTTTTTTCAAAGTGGTGTGATGTTTCTTAAATCTTATTTCGAGCTGTGTGCGGAGTTATTTCCTACATTTTTATATTGTTTACGCAATTACGACAATGTTTACTAATGTTAGAAATAATTTGTCTGATCTAAAGTATCTCGTATTCTTCCAGTGACGTCAGGGAAGCTAAAAAATTTAACATCTTTGATGCAGACGGTCAAATTCAGTTTTCAGTTTACCGGCCTGATATACTGACTACTTCACAATAATAGTGCATAACAGAACATAAATGTTATTTAATCCCCATAGCTAGTCACCTGAGATTGCCCAAAGTAGCAAAGAATTTGTATTTCACTAAAATGTGATTTAAATTTATATATAATTGAATTCTTTATATGGGTTCTATATCTCACACTGACTAGAGAAATTGCATCAATGGGATATAATTGTAGCTCTAATAATAATAGATCGCTCACTGTGCAAAAAAACTTGATTCCAGACAGAAAAGGTTGGCAACAGCCACGACAGTGGCAAAAAATCACAAAGGCAATTATCATAATTGTTATTTTTGTGTTCAAAATATGCACTAGTTTCACATCTGAACATCAGTGACACCGTAGGTGTTTTTAAGGCCAGTTTCCATGGTACGTATTTAAAATTACCGAAACAGATATTCAATATTAACAAAATAATGAATACTAAATAAGAAAATTTAAACGGTCCCAAACATATCAGTAATCTAATTCATATTGTATAAATGTATGTTATAACATAAAATAATCTCAAGTAAAATTCCAGCCTTAAAGGAAAGTTCAGATAAATGTGATAGCTTTTTGTCACTTTCTTGATTATTCTAATCCCCACGAATGTTTTCCAATTCATCGGCGACATTATGAACTGGCGAGAAAGATTTGTCTTGTATAACTTTACATCTTGTAAGTTTTATTCTATTCATAAATAGTAAAAAAGAAGCATTTTATAAGAGAAAAGAAATTTTATGCTTAAAAATAAAACTCTATATGGCCAACATTTATATTTTTACACGCGGTACATGCTGTTTAGTTAAATATAAAACGCGCAAATCCACGTATGCGTACTTAGCATCTATTTTATCTTAGTGTATTCGGTTTACTAATTTTACATGCTTACATCTATATCAAATACTAATATATGCAACATAATACATTTACAACATTTAATGTTTGACTCAGAGTGGGATAGAAAGGTATAAAATATCATTAATAATTATCATAAATTTTCAAACTATCATTAACGAAACCTTTGTTCATGATGATTACTTATGAAAAACTATTCCGCTTTCCTTTTAAGAATAATGGGTACAACTGTACGCAACGCAATATTTCAACATGGTTGAACACTATAAAAATTAGAGAAAAGCAAATTTCATTGATTCATATGCCAAAAAATTATTCAAAATAATAATTCCTAAATTCAACATAAACTGCAGATAAACACATATCAAAGTACTTCTTGCCACCCTCATGACTGATGCCATAAACAGTTTTTGGAATCAAAAATATGATCTTGGAGAGTACTTCATCTACTATCATTACTATATCTACGGATATACTGGATGATAAATAAAGTCTTATAGCTCTTGAATAATATATAAAGAAATTAAATGACAATACATTAATTACATACAGCTTAATATTACACATGACATAAAACATATTTGTTAATTTATTTTCCTAATCGAAAGTTTCTTGAAAGCTTTGTGCTGTCTTTTCACTTTTATTGATACTACTAGATGGCGCCACATCATATAGCTTTTGGATATGAATGTATTTTTTGATTGCTAGCAAAGACATCACAGTTTAACTCTGCACGCAGTTAATATAAGAGCTGTTCGACAGTTAAATATATGTAGAAAGAAAGAATAACCTATATTTCAATTAACAGAAAATATTATTAACAACTGAATTCCCAAGCAATTAAATCTGGATATTAAAATCATTTGACTATACAAAAACCAGTACTTAAAACCAGGGTCGGTTTAAGGGCACTGCAATACCCATATTCACGCCCTCAAAACTTGAGAAGTGAAGAAGTTGCTACTATACTCCGTTAATGGAGAGTTGACAGTGCTTGTTATCACTATGCGATATTTTATCTATTACAGTTAAATAACAAACATATGAACTGCACGTTCTTTCAACGGTGTGATGGGTTGAATTTATCTTAACTCACTGACGCAACTATTTTGATAGACAATGACCGGTATCTGGGGAGATTTCACAGAACTGATCTGTTGGAAATTTCACCCACCGAAGCATATTAAATATGGAGGTTCTTAATGCATTTGGACAGACTTCAGAATGTTCTGATAGAAAAATATTCATCACTAGTAAATCGTCAAAGTGCTATTTCATCATGACAACTAAAATAATCATCTCTTCATTTTATAATGTAATACTCCATTATAATAGAACGTTAAAACAAAAACAAGATTTTGAATACAAAAATTGTATTGTAATGAAGTAACGCAACACATGTCATGATCCCAGCTTCAAAGTTTTATGCAATACAAATGTTAATATTATAAGCTTCCATTATCAGATATACCACTTGTTTGAAATCGATAATGATTTAAAGACACAAATTTACACAGGGAAAGGAAAACTCTCGATCCTACACTTTTCTTTTGAATTTGCGGTTTTAGTACACAATTTATAAATTAATAAAATTTGAATCTACGCAATTTAAGAAAACTGTCTTTAATAACTTAAGACAAAAGCTGTAAGTACATCTGTAATAACACATGATTATTACACATATTTTTGACTAAAATACCAAAACGGGTATAACAATATAAATAATCAACGAAAAAAAGATTTGTTTAACTATTAATACAAGGAATATATATTTTTACAATTTATTTAAAAAAAAAGGCTGCATCACTATTTTACAACAATTAATTTTCTTATATTTATAAATTATTTACAAAAATGAGTATCTTAAGAAAATGAAAACTTAATATTACATGTTGTATCTTGCTTCAAATGAAAATGAAATTACTTTTAACAAATACTATGAAATTATGGAAACCGTCAAATTACTATATCAAACATAATAACATTCCTTCAAATTTTGTGCAAATATAAAATCTACAATGTTCAAATACTGGACAACGGTAATAAAATAAGCATGGATTTTCTTTCTTCCAAATCTGCTTGAAAATAAATACATTTCATGTTAAGATAAAACTACGATAAGAATCAATATATCTATTTCAACAGATTTTATTGAAAACTGCGCTTCGTAAGTCGAAAGGAACAGAAGGTCACAGAGCTTGAATATTTTTTAATGTAAAGAAATACATTTTTCAAAATGCAAGTTTGCAATACAGAGAAATGTAAATTTTCATTAATATTCGAGAGTATATTTATATTTTTATTATATGTTTGCTTGCAACATTCTTACTTAAAAATCTAAAATGTAATATAAATAGTTAATTTATTTTACATAATTATAATAAAAAATGTATAAAAATAACAGAAATTAAGCTCTTAATAATTTTTAAAATATTTAATTTTGTAAGAGGGATATTAGCTTCAAGCAAATTTCTTTAGATTACTTGTGCACTAATGTATCTGTAGCTATAAATCGTCCCCTTACGTCAAAAAAGTTCAAAACCTCTAAACAAATGAATTAATCATTCTGGACAATTGGCAGCTGCCCACAATTTTTTATATTTATTATAAAAATAGTTTATTATAGAAACAGCAGAAAAAAAATAAAGTGTTATGATTATATGTATGATATGATTTAGGCATTATCCACATCATAAACAAAATCCAATTAAGTTTCAGAGACGTGCGGAACATTAACATTTTATAATAAATAATTTAAGACACTATGTAATAACTTATCACATTTGTTAATGTTGAGACATATATAGTTAAATGTCCACATATAAACAGGTCTGTTTTCAAGAAAAAATAAAAATCTTTATAATGAATAGTTTAAAAATAATGATTCAAACAACAGCATTGTACACTACTTACAACAAAAAAGGGAAAATATACTTTTTTTTCTACTTTGAAAATGTAAATTGTAAAAATCTCGCATATAATATGCATGTGCATATAATATAAAAATGATACCTCAAAATTATTTGTTCATAAATATGAACACAGTAGCATTTAATATGGAATAGTCAGTATAAAATTTCGAATTAACATTTTTTGCTTTTCTAATGTAGCTGAGATTTTAACAGTTATCCCAATTTAAGATAAGTACCCTTCCAGCCAATCATAAAAAATCTTTAATATTTTAATCATTCATATATGAATGAATGTGGTCAAAAATGATAATGTTATCTGCATAAACAGACAGCATTTATTACAATATCAGAGGGAAAATATATTTATAAAGAGGAAAATAATTAAACTTCCTTTGAGTTTTGAGATGGAACTTTAATTTTCAATAATTTTTTTCTTTCTCTGGGAACTACACAGCCTTGCAAGAAATGCATTCTTAAATGGTAAAAAAACTTTTTCAAAACTAATGTTTCAAGATATTTTACTACCGAACAATAAACGGAAAAATCTGCATAGTTACCACTGACGGATAGGAATATTTTTAAAAATAATTAAAATAGAGGAAGAGAAAATTTATTCATAAGATATTTATGAAATATTTCGGTAGTTTCTATTAAAAGCTATTTGACAACAAGATTAAAAAATGTGATTCTTATTCGTAAGATGTAATATGCATTTTCTTGCAAGTGAAACAAAATAGCAAGTGTGTTCATTATATGCGAGTTTTACAAAATTGCATTTTATTACTTGCATATTATTAAGGAAGTCAAAAATGGATTACACATAAACTGAAAAATTAAAAAAAATACATAAATTTAACATTGAGCGATAAACAGAGACTGGTGTCATATCGTCGCACCCATTGCCTTCAAAGCGAGAAGAGCATTGACTGCTTTCTAAAAAATAAATAATTAAATAAAAATAAAATCTATACTTTTTAAAATTGTAATGGAAATTATTTTAATTACATCCCTGTAAATATACGACAAAATACATTATAAAAATTTATACAAATGTACTTCCAAATATATTTGTATATAAAAACTATGCAAATATATTTCCACAAAAAATCAAAATTAAACAAAAGTAACTAATTATTAAAAAAAGAAACACGTAAATAACAAGTAATTAAGAATATTGATTTAACCACAAGATTAAGTTACCAGTGTTACTTCCTGTTACTTTCAAAAGAAAAGTGCTTTTTTAAAAATATAATAAAAACTCTGTTCATGAATTCAGTTCGTTCATGAAAGCCATTTTTCAACAAAAATGTTAGAAAACCGAAACAATTTTGCCCATAACTAATAACATAAAATGGATTAATTCATTCTTAGAGTACAGATGATTGTTTATTTAAACTTCACATCTGTATTTGTGCACACGTTGATAACCCAAAACCAATGGAAATCAATAAATATAAACAAAAATGATTAAAAACATCTGAAAGGTTTCAGATTTTACCGGTCGCCTAAAAGAGTTTGTTAAGGTTTTTTACGCTCTCGCTGACTTCACAGTCTACAAGTCTCTGTTAACACTCATATTTTGCTAAGTTTTGTTTTAGCTTTATCATTAGGCATCATTTTCTTCGCACTTACAACATATACAATTCAACAGCAAAATTATAAAAATTTTCGAAGCAGCATAGCAGTATACGTTTAGAATTCCCGATGCAAAGTTAAGCTTTGGTTTTACATTTCTATGTCTTTTTTAGTCTTTTTTTCAGTTCGTCATATCAATGTTCAGTTTTCTTACTAAACTGGCATTAAAACACATTTTTTGGTCTTTTTATTATTAAAGTTTTATGTGTTTATGTTATTCATTAAATAAGGTAAACGCACAAATAATAAGGTTGTTGTCGTTTATGCTCCATAACATTCGATTCAACAATAAAATCACAAAATATTCAAAAGCAGTATATCTTTAGAATTTCGGATAAATAATTTCCCACGGAGATTTTTTTTTTCCGTACAGTGTTGCAATTGTTCGCTTAGAAATTCTTGAGTTTTTAAATAAAAATTCGTTAAGATTTTACAAGTTATGAAATAGTTAATAAAAAACAATTAGAAATTTAAAATTCGGGCTTTTAAGTGCCCATATTTCAGTGGATGAGTATGTTATTCAAAATTTGATGCCTCTGGGTACAGTCGTTTTTTCACAATGCGAGAAACATGCGTGCATTCATACAAATTCCTCACTATTTATTTATTTTTTTTCAAATACAGTACACGGTGGTAATATTCGGCGCCAATAATTTGAAACATTATACCCAGTTTTTAGTGATTCAATGCAAAATGCCTTTTCGACACTAATATCCCATTCGGGACAAAAGTCCCTTTTGGGCTAAAAAAAGTATTAAACATATAAAACAGATGAAATCTTTGTTTTATTTTATTGTATCTTTACAAAGTAGAGCGAATGATGTAAGTGGAGAATGATGTAGAAGACGTTATTCATTGGATGATTGGTTATCCTTTCATAAAAACACCGAATAGTAACTCAGTGTCTTTAGATTAAACATCAGTGACTTTAGGTGGTTTTCCCAGTTTTGCCATTTTTATATATCATAAACTTTAGGTGGTATTATTCTCATTGGAAATGCTTATTTTGCAGCTTACAGTGCTTTGTCATAAATGAAAACGTGGATCAAATTTCGCGGATTAAAGAATTAGGATGATTTTTCTTTCTTAATGTTCACCTGATCACAGTTGTCTATTGTTTCTGCCTTTGAAGTTGTAATTCTTTCTCGTTAAGCTCATTTCTTTGGCCCACTAGTAACTTTTCCATTTCTTTATTGTTAACTTCCTAGAGAAAGGCGTTGCTTAGAGACACAATATCATAAGTAAAAGATGCCCTAAGTATTAAAGCGTTAAAAATATCTGCTACAACTCAATCTATGCATTATTTCCTCCAGGCGGAATTCATGATCCTGTTAAGTCCTTTACTGCCAGACTTTGTCAGTGAGAATTAAGCAATGGAAAATATTAAAATGATGCTTCTAGAAAATCCCAGAGTACTAATTATGTGATATATGTTACCTCAAAACACTTTTGAAAATCTTATATTGCCACTTAAGAGTTTGCACCTCGAAATACCTTTGATTAGAGGTCTTTTATATTCAAACAATTTGCTGAACTGCCCATGAAAAAACGACGTTCATGATTCGAGGTTCCACTGTATTAAAATAGGATATACAGTAAATTATTAATAATTTAAGAAATCCATTAATGAAACGGGAGGCATTAACACTGCATTTATATTATTTATTTATTGTTGACTGTTGATAGAGGAAGGTGCAACGTCTATTTACTTACAGGTTAGTCGGTTTTGCCCCATGTTTACCACTACCGAGTGAAAGAGCAACCGGTAGGGAATAAAGTGGCTGTAGTAGATGATCAAAGGGCATTGTATATTTGAAACTGTACTTCCATAGTTCATCTAGCAACAGGTAGCCATAACGCTGCAGTTTACATATTTACACTTAACGGTACTATATATAAAAAGTCCATTAGCAGAATATACGCTTAGGAAGTACAGTCATGTCGCCAGATTGATGGTATAGTAGTTAGGAAACCTACCACGGCACCGAAGGGCGCGGATTCGAATTCCAGGTAAGACATGGATGTTTGTAAATGTATAGTGTCGGTGCAGCATGGTGGCAGTCTAAATACCCGGCGAGCCGAAAGTTCTCTCGTGTGGGTTGGTGAGAGACCCGAGGATCCTCCCCCCCCCCGGGGTCTTCTCTCTCGAAATTGGGAGTGGAAAATGGAAGTCCAACTGCTATTTCGAAGTACGCTCTGGCAACCATTGTTCCATGTATTATGGACAAGACAACAACAATAGCAAGTACAGTCGTACTATAAAATAAATAAGTAAAATGTTGTGTCCGAGTTGTTTTTATTACGCAGTGCAAAACAGTTCTTCGTGCTAGAAGAGCATATCTATTAACCTTACAAACTTTCTGTATCATGTGATGTAGCTTAATTGTGGTTTGTTGTTTGGAAACTTTATAGTCTTTCTGTTATCTGCTGCAAGTTTGTTAATTAGTGATCTGGCGTATCTTTCTCACCACATATACTACGGTCAGTGTTTGAAAGCCAAATTTGTAGAAATATGTCGGGAGGTTCCATGTTCGCTGATGAAGTGTGTTAATTGTGGGATGAAGGTCTTTTCGTGTATATTTACTTCTGATGTATGATAATGTGTGCATCTTCCTTTTTGTAAGATGAAAATGGTCTTCCTGCCACATGGTGTAAGTTTTGCTGAGTTGATGCTTGAGATACAAACGTAGTAGTGGAATGTCTAGCAACATATACTGAGCAAAACTGCAACACGCGGAACCGCCTTTTAGAAATTTTTTTTAATTTAAAAAGAGTCAGACATGATCAAAGTTATCAGTCTTTTAATTAGCCCGCTTTTCTCAATTACATTACAGTGCGATATATTATAAATCTATCCGAGCAATATACACAGCTAACAGGATTAAAAAAAAGATGGATAATCAACCTGAACAATGTTAAATGGCCAGCTATACCCATATAAGAATATTTTGACACATAACACAACGTACCAATATTCAGTGATGTTCAAGTGAAAGTAATCATACTCGTCGTATAGGGTTTAATGTAGAGTACAACTAATGAGAGTAATAATTATTTGATTCAATAATCAAGTCCTAGCTACTCCTGCTGCCACTTTATCGGTCATCAAAAATGCGTAGATAACTGCCATCACTCGATAAACGATTCAAATCATTTTTGGAATTAAGCTTTCATATGTGTAATTCATTTTGTTTCTTTTACCATTGTCACTTCTGCCTGGACTGGTGCCATTTCCAAATAACCTGGCACGCTGAACGATTAATGCTAAGTCCTCATTAGAGAAGAATTCCGCTTTTCCTTCATTTCTGACGATAGATGAATAAGCGTATGGTGCCGATGTGGCAAAACGAATGTCTAACAGAAATACGTAGAATTACTCATAGTTCAACAACAAAATATCGTTGTCTGTGCAACCATCAGCTACGCTATCCTATGGTATATAGTGACGGAAGTTTGCAGTTGCTTGATGTACTCTTTGACAGATGAAGAAAATATATATTGCACTCTTCACTTTCAATTTAAGCAACACTGTTTTTGTACATTCCCATTCGTAAGACCATTTCACAATAATATTTACGAGGTAACATCATATGACAATGGTCTGCCAGATTCTTAAATTTGTCGTGATGTGAAAATGTCTGGGATATCGATAGATATGATCAACACATTAATCCACGGCAAATTTATTTCAATGCGGCTAGCCGATATGAAGAAAACTACTCACTATTGCATTCGTATTCTTCAGCACAGCAGTGATTAATGAAATGCATCGTTTGCAAAAGTCAAGCCATTTTTGGACTAGTTTGGCGATACAAGGCTTTTTTTAAGAAATAAATTTCTTCCTTTAGTTTGTACATTCTGTGTGATATTACCTAAGTATTCCTATCCATAATTTCAAGATAATCGCATTATATTCCTTTTAGTTTTGAAGTTTCAGTTTTATTTCGTTTACATATTTCTTATCTCTGACGAAAACAAAATTTCAGACGAAAACAAAATTTGAAAGTGTTAACGGTGCCTGAATTTATAATTTGATACATCTTTATTAAAATAAATTTGTGAAATCTTTCAAAAATAAATTATACTAGCATACAATAAAACATGAAAGAAATGTCGATTGATATATTACCTGCCAGCGTCTCCTGATAACAAAACGTTTTAACTTCGTCTTGTCCAGTTTTGTATCCTTTTTCGGTTCCCCTTTCTGTGATGAATCAAAAAAGGTTTATGAAATATTAAAAAATTTAACATTTTAAAATTATTTAAATACTTGATTTTAGCACAAACACAATGTACTCATAATGAAATATCACGTAAAGAAAATATTATGTAAAGTAATCATTAAAATATTGAGCTACATGATAAACTTTGAACATTCTCGTAAATACTAAAGTTTCATAAAATGAATTTTTTCGTATTGTGTATTTTTCATACACTAATCTTCAAAACTAGTTTCCCACTCATTTTTCGTGCAACTGTATGGGACGAAAGTATACCTGTGTAAAATAAAATTACAAACCTACAGCGCATCATATGGATCTTCCTGACTTTTTATGTCTTCTTATTAGTATTAGTAGTAGTATTGATTCTATACAGCTAAGTGAGTAGGAGAAGCAAAAAGCGCCTGTTAATATTCACAGAAAACTCTGCGCAACTGTTCAAGGAAAGCTGGTGTAATTCTCAGTTTCCGACATCTAACAGAAAACCTGTTACAATATGGTACATGATATTAAAATAAAAAGCATAACTAAGTTTTAAATTAATAAGTAAAACGAATTAGATAAAATCTAACCATTTTTAGGAATATCACGGTAGTCAAAAACTGACATCATTTCATAAAGGCAATCAAATTACATATACAAAAGCAATATTTCATTAAAAATACTCTTAACCTAGTTCATTTAAAACTAAACTCGGCATAACAGCCTTAACGAGCCAATGCCTGCAGTGCCCCGAAATCTGCTTTTTTGACCGTGGGCCCCGGAGTGCGTGAGCATATGCCCTGAACAAAAGAGGTCAGCTTGTCTCAGAACCCCCAGTGTTTAGCCCCCAAGTGAACTTGGTACTCATTTTATTGACACAACGGATGGAAACCAAGGGATGAAAGGCTGAGTCGACCTCGCCCAGCCCGGGGATCGAACCCCGGACCTGTGGTGCTGCTGCGCGATGCGCTAGCCACTGCGCCACCGGGCCTCAAATATCGCCGGGAATCGAACCACGGACCTCTGGAATACTGGCTTAGCAAGTAGAACCACTACACTACGAAGGCACAGTTCATTTAATGGCTAATAATAATGCTTTAATCCTAACTTAAATAGGATTTTAACATATTTTAGGTCTACAGTTCTAAAAAGATGTGCAACGTAGTGCATATCAAGTAAATGTCTAATTTTAAATTGAATTTCAGTTGTAATAACATTATTATCCTCTACTAGAAAGCCTTACGAGTGCCAACAACGAGAATCCACATCGTCTATCGTTCTAACTGTGATTATGACCTTTCCACCAAAGATCTGTTTGTGTTGCCAGTCAAACATACCCTTTTCTCAAACGTAATAAATTTTATTGAAGAGTATTTGAAATTTCAAGTTCAAGGTACTATTGTACCAAGATGAGTTATAAAGTTTATTGCTTCTGTTAACGAATATAAATGATTGTTTAAACAAGATGATGCCACCTGTCACACATCCAATGAAATTAAGCAGCTGTTGCGCGGTAATTTTAGTAATCTTATCATTTGAAAAGAATTATGGTTTCCGCGATCACCCGATCTGTTGCCTGTAGACGTTTATTCTGTGGAAGTTACTTAAAATAATGATTTATAGAGATAATTTACATTACTGAACAAAGCTGCTACTTGAAGCATATGCTTTAAAGATATAGTTTGAAGATGCAATCGTTCGTCGAAAAGTAATAAACATTACTAATAAGTACTATGTATCTTGTAGTTTAAGCATTAAACCAACAACTTTTATTTGTTTACTAACATGCGTGACTTTTCGATCAACCAATAGTAATACACCATATCTATAACTTAGCTATGAAATGTTTAAAATATAGGAACGGCATGAATTAATAAGACTACAAAGCATTCCGGATAGAGAATTGTACTTAAATTACCTAAATCTGACTTTAAAAATGAAAACGCTTAGCAAATATTTGTATTTGAAAAATGCATCAGAAAATATATATAAAAATAATCCTTACCCTAAGCCATGGATGTTTTAAGCTCTCTATCGCCGTCATTCGTTTTCTGAAAGAAAAAAACATAATTCATTTAAATAACAAGAAAAAATATTAAGGATGTATAAAATTATAGAATTACTGCATAAAGAACGTTGTCAAATTTTCGTACAGTGCTAAAATAGCATCCCCTTTAATGTAGTTCTTCATATTAAGCAGAAATATTAACTGCAGTCATATGAAAGAACTATTCTTTGGTTAATCTCTAATTTATTAAAAGCTAAAATAACTGAAATATATATGTTGTCATATTTCAGCGAAATGGAAACTATTCGTGTTTGATACACATAACTTTTTTTTTTTTTTTTTTTTGAAAGACAGGAAACTTTTTTCGTTACTCAAGGTTACATGATGATCATCTGAAAAAGAATCTGAATCTGTATAATGCTTCAAGATTTTTTTAAGTTTTCATTTAACTTAATTTCTCTAATTGCTGGTTTGTCTGTTTGGGCCAAATTTTAAAATTAATTTTTTACACCATTCCACCGACCTAATTTTCTTCAAACATTTCTCAGAAACATATTTTAGATGACAGTACAGTATTCTACTAGAGATTCTCCTTAACTTTGATGTAAATATTTTACGTCCTTCTGATGTTTTTCAGGTGTTAGTTGTTTAAACTTTAGGCATATGAACGTGATTGTGAAGTTAGTACATACAAGGAGTATATATTTACCCTAAATTAAAGATTAGGGTTATTAGATTATGACACAGCATTCGAAAACACTAAGAGAAGGGAAACTTTCAGGAAGAACATTTAAGAAAATTACCTCGTATCCAAAAGCGAAAAACCACGAAAATTCTCAAGCAGTTAGTCCGTTATTCAGGATTTGAGCCCGAATCGAATTACCACCGTTTCTACTTCTCAGCTTTTTAATCACACAGGTGCCGGTGGGCTATCCAAATTAAATGTCATAAAACTGGCGGAATGTCTTGATTACAGGAAAAAAAGAAATTGTATACATATCATAGTAATCTATTTTACTACTTATATAAAAAAACAACGTTTCATTTGCAGTGTCTAAGGCACGTGATATTCAAATGAGGTAGAAAGAACAGAGCATTTAAAGGAAGGTCTTAGAGTGTAGAAATCAGAAAGTGTTCTCCCGTGAAGACCGCGTTGCTACTTTCATTCTCTAGCTAGTATCCCACGACGTTGAGTAATTTACGATTCTCGCCATTTTTGGCTTATTATGCCGATCTTAGGTCACAGCCAGATTGCGCGTTATTCTGTTTGTGCAACCGTTAGACTAACTTATTGGACTTGGCTTCTGTAAGCACGAGTGGTGCTGTCTGTTAAATTTTATCTTTATCTTATTTTTTTCATTTATCTTAGTCAAATCAAAGGGTTCCTTTACAAATTTTCCCTCTCTCTGTGGTGCTTAAAATATATAACGATAATTCATTTCACCCTTAAAAGTTCTCGTACGTTTGATGTTATCAAAGAACACGAGACTCTACAATGTTAATTACTATAATTGTGTGAACTTTACTGTATTTTACTTTTTCTGCGATATTTAAAATAGTGCTTAAGCTTACTGCTCGATAAACTTAAACGTGGTGCACCTTTCACCGTGAAATTTGGTTTTTACATCACTGGACAAGTAAAAAAATAAACTTCCAACCGAAGGAATCTTGGAATTATCACGTTTTAGGGTTTTTAAAAGTTGACATATGTTTCAGCTATCGTATACTGTTATTAAAAATATATACTTAAATCAAAATATTTAAATCCTTCATAGTTAAAAGCCCGTTCGTTTAGGCAGTAATCATGACCGGATCTCTAAATTAAACAGAAACTTAAATGACGTGAATGTAAATCTACGCTATCGCTCGGAATACGTTAAAAAAACAGTGTGTTGTTGTCACATGACAAAGTGTTTTAATGTCCAGTTAGCAGTAACTTTGTTTACTACTTCTCAATTTGTTCAAAGTTTCTCAAACATCTTTCCCCTTGTAACTCTTAGGATTGCATAAAATGTCTAGTGTACTGCCTAGGATAAATTTCCAAAGATAATAAGATTTAAAAACGTTTTATTACATCTTAGCAATTATTGAATCTGCTTTCAATTTATTGGAAAATATTTTTTAGTAAAAGCGTCAGAAATGTTATAAAGCTATTTCAGCAATTAATTTTACTCCCTGTGCGCAATCTGATATTGAACACTGTTATGATCATATAAAACAAAATTTTTTTAAAACACTTTTTCATTGATAAAAGTACACGAGAAAAGCTGTTTTAAAGAAGGATAAATAGCCAAGTGTTTTATTGTTTGAAGATCTATTTCATAAAGATATACACTATCTACCAATAAGTATTTCGACATCTATGAAAATGTCAATATCTGCTGTCCATATACACGTTGCGCCCTTTGCCGTCCAATTCGTGTAGGAAACAACATCGGCATTAGTCGTATGTAAAATGCTACAAATTGCAGAGTTAATTGATTTCGAGAACGGTGTAATCGTCGGGTATCACAGCCCAACTGACGGTCCATATGTTCTATATTTTCTAGAGCAATCCGAGAGTGTTTTTGCGATGAATAGGAAGTTTTTGCCTAAGAATAGGAATAGGAAGTTTCCTACGTAAGGAAGCACATTTGCTTGGTTTTCATGGCCGTACTGCCACCCACAGGTCATTGACCACAAAGTCCAACAGCGATGCTCGGTTAATGTGATGAAAAGCACATCGATAGTAGACCGTAAATGGGTTTCCTGGAGCAACAAATCAAGGTTCACCCTCTACTGCTCAGATGGCAAGGTCTGGATCTGGCTTCTGCCTAAGAACGCCTCCTACCAAAATGCATTATGTCCCTAGTTCTGTGCCAAAATTCATTATGTCAAAGTTCGGTGGAAGTAGAATTATGGCCTGGAGATATGTCTCCTGGTATGGACTGGGACCCTTGGTCACAATTCATGGGAAAGTTAACACCGACGCCTACTGCATTATTTTGGACGACAGTGTGCTTCTTCGTTGTGGCAGTTTTACTGGTTACCATGTTACTTTCACGAGATAAAGTCAGCTGTTATGTCAAAGTCAGCGAGCTCCACCATGGACTGGTATACTGACAATGAGGTAGGCCGAATGGACTGGCCTGCCCAAAGCGCAGATCTCAACTCTATTAAAAACCTCTGGGACGAGTTGGATCACCGAATTAAGAAATACCGAAATTGTCCAACATCTGTGAAGGAAATTATATATCCTCTCCAAGCCGTGTGGAAAAAGTACCAATAGCCATTATACAAGGACTTACATATAGCATGGTCCGAAGGGTTGAGGCTATAATTGCCGCTCGTGAAAACTCTACCAACTACTAAATATGAATAAATTTGGATTTTCTGTCCTATCGCGGGTGTCTAAATACTATAGTTATTAGAAGTGCTTTACGTTGATACCGAAATGAAAATGGTTATGTTTTTAAGTTACAAATAAATACATTTAATAAACTTAATCATGTGAAAGAATGATCTTAATAAAATGCATTATAATGATCAGTACTGATAACAAAACGCCATCGTTTGTAGAAATAGTCATTTAAAGAGGTGGTAAATATAAGAGGGTTTCTTTCTTTCAAGATACTTACATCCATCACGAAGGGAAGTTTTAAACTTATTTGGCAAAAAACTAAATTAGTCCTCAGCAACTTTATTAAAACTTTTAACTCATTTGTCACTTAACTGCTCCATTATATTAATTTATTTAAAACCAAGTATTAATATAAAATCCAATAAACATAATTTGCAATTATACAGAAATTAACAAAAAATTATTTTAGAAATAGCAACAATATCTTCTATCAGCGTGATAGAAAACTTTTGATTGGTTTCTTACTATATCGTTATGGATTTATAGAAAAACAATTAACAGTTAATTTTTAATAAATTAATACATTCTTTAAGTTCATTATATAACTATATTTTATCTACTTCGAAATCAACACTAAAGTATAAAGCGCAATTATTTGTTGAACATATAGTCATTCGGAATAACTTCGACAACTATGGTTCTGTACACTCAATTCTGATTCGTTATTTCCAACAAATGCCAGAATAAAGACCTTTTATTATTTTTTTTATATTAGTTTTCATGCTCGATAGTTGATAAGAGTTTATTTCTTTGGAAGTTGTGGTTTATTTTTGAAGCATCCTAAGGTATCCTAAATAGACTTCTCTAAATAACTTTAAAATGAGAATTTTTTATTCGAATACTCTTGGTGATGTTCAAAAGATGATTTGAGTCCTCTTGTTTGTTATTAAATGCTAGGGAAAAAGATTAGTCTCGCAGGCAGCTTCCCCCCTCCTTTTTTTTAATTAGATTAAACCTACTTTTTGAAAAACGTGATTTTTTTTTAACTTTTCTTTTACGAAATAAACTTTAACTTGAAATATTATTGTAGTAATTTTATCAAACTTTTCACATGTATTCTATGAAATATTGTGAAATTGACTAAAAGTTTAAGTTTATGAACACATCTAAATTTTTTTCAAACAATACTGTAAGTAAAAAGAGAAACATTTCTAAAAAATATCTAGTTTATTACTCAAACAGAGATATTCGACAGGCATTCTATTTTATCACTTGGATTTTAATACATTTAATTTTAATCCATTTGTTGCAACATATCTGGTAATCCTGAAATTAAACACATTTTTAACACAAAATTTAAGAAAAGAGGTCAAACTTTATATTTTGGCAATATGTTTATTACCCGTTTCTATCAATTTAAGTAGTTATTCTGCTAAATAACACCAATCATAGATTTAGTTATACTATTTTCCAAAATTTGGATTTGGAACGTAGTCTGATACCTTAATACACTATTCTAGCTAGGAAACTTAAGAAATGTAACTAATGTTAGTAAATGTAAAACAAATATACTTTTAAAATTACATAATGGTTACTCCAGTTTTAGTTGTATGATGATACAGATTATCCATATCAAAATAATTCTTCATATAAGAAGTTTCATTGCGAAACTGAACATTATTTGAATTCCGCATAGCGTTAAAATATTAAAAAACTAATTTATATTTGATAAATTTTATTTTCATTTACTAAAACCCATGAACTATACTGGTGTGCAAAACTTAAGCAACAATGTAAATTTTAATCAGATAGCCATTAAATTGTAGAAAAGGGGTTCTTGCGTTCAGTACAATGAACATGCAGTTCAGTAGAAAGGGCATGCGTATGCAAATGTCAAGGAAAAAAGTCACAGGTTACGTCAACGTACGTAAAATGCGTACGGTCGGCACGCTCAACTCGAGACTGCCATAAAAGGAAGGATGGAGACGCAATTAAAGACATTCGCTGCAAGTACAAAGAGTTCTTTCGTGAAATATGTTTGGCTAGAAGAAATGATCTGGATGACTTCACACGTGGAAGAATGATCGAAAATCTGGAGTAAGGGCGAAGTGTGACCAGTATAGCTGAAGAGTTCGGAATCAACAAAAGTGTCTTTTCGCGCGCTTGTAAAGCCTTACAAACCATAGGTACGGTTGGTTAGAAATGTTGTTGGTGGCCGCCCAAGGAAAACAACTGCAGTGGATGACCGATATATTGTCTTGCAGGCGAAAAGATCCCGAAACCAGTCACCAAACTCCATAGTTCAACAAATGTGTACAGCAACGGGGCGACAAGTGTCGCGGTGTACTTGTGCAGACACCTTCAGAAAGGTGGCTTATTCGCCTGTCTTCCTGAACGCTGCATCCCTTTGAAAGTTGGCCATTGGCGTCACCGTTTACAGTGGTGCAAGAAGCGCAAAAACTGGGCATCTCATCAATGCATATCCTCCTTACGGATGAGAGTAGTTTTAGTGCCACAAGCGATTCTCAACACAAATTGATTTGGAGAGAGGTCGGAATACGGTTTAATCTCAGTAAATCACGGAAAGAGACCGTTACGTGTCCTGAAGATCTCGTCTGGAGAGGCATTATGCTGAACCGGGCGGACAGAGCTTCCACGTTTCCGACAGGAAGTTCTGTAACCGGAGATCGCTGTTGTCAGGTGGGTGATCTTTCCTCATGTGCGTCTGTTCCGAGGTGTCATTGGAGCAGACTTCGTTTTTATGGATAACAATGCAAGACCACACCAGACTCCTGCTGTTCAGAAGCTACTGAAAAGTGAAGATATCACTCGAATGGATTGGCCAGCGTGCTCCCCTGATTTAAATCCCGTAGAATATGTGTTGGATGCTTTGGAGAGATGCCTTGTGGCACGATTACATCCTCCGGGGAACACCCAGCAACTGAAACAGATGGTGATTGAGGAATGGACCGTCTTACCTCAAGATCTGTTGGACAATCTGGTGCTGAGTATGGAGAGACCGTTCGAAGCAACCATTGCAGTAAGGAGAGGGCATATCTCATAGTAAGGAACATCTGCTTGTTGCTCTTCCTCTTGTACAGACAATCATGTATCACGATATTATGAGTTCAATAAGGCCTATTTCTGTTTGATTTCGTACTGTATGCATTGTATTCATTTTTAGCACAATTATGCATTTGTCATCGTTTAAATACAAAATGCTGTCTTTTAATTCTGAATTTCATATCTCTCAGATATGAAATGATTTCTCGTGGATCTCCAGATGATTTCTCGTGGAGTTATGCAAAAAAGAACACCTGTTGCTTAAGTTTCGCACACCAGTGTAATTTTATAGTATTCTTACACTACCCATTGGTCATTTCACATATAGCAATGTATGTTCATCTCATGTTTGAGATCACTGGTACGGAGAATGATTTCTAATTCAGGCAAAGTTGCGTGCAAGTACTACCTATTAAATAAGGAATGACTTCAAACTGGTTAAAAATTCTAATTACTGTACGTATTGTATTCATTTTTGGCAAGGATTCATTTTTGGCATAAGGAATGACTTCAAACTGGTTAAAAATTCTAATTACTGTATGTATTGTATTCATTTTTGGCACAATTATGCATTTGTCATCGTTTAAATACAAAATGCTGTCTTTTAATTCTGAATTTCATATCTCTCACATGATTTCTCATGGAGTTATGCAAAAAAGAACACCTGTTGCTTAAGTTTTGCACACCAGCGCAATTTTATAGTATTCTTACACTATAAAATTGGTCAGCCATTGGTCATTTTACATATAGCAATGTATGTTCATCTCATGTTTGAGATCACTGGTACAGAGAATGATTTCTAATTCAGGCAAAGTCGTGCAAGTACTATCTGTTAAATAAGGAATGACTTCACACTGGTTAAAAATTTTAAATGCTTAATTATTGATATTTAAAAAAAATAATTTCAGTGATTCTTCGAAATATGAAGCAAACTACCTTTATAATTTGAAACATAATTTAAATTTTTATAATATTAAATTGCGTACATATCCGTGTGTATCAATGTTTCAAGCAGATCTATTTCAAATGCTTGAAAAACAAAGCAAATAGTTATTAATACTTACGTTAAATCTTTAATTAATAATTTAGATATAAAATCTTTAGCCACATCTGATATATTATCAAAGCTTTCGTCTTCAAAATCGTATTCGGCTTTGGTGACATTTCCCATCGTTTCTAAGTCGGAGTCGCCCATGAAAGGTGAAAGACCGGAAAGTCTAAAAAAGACATGCATATAAATGATGAAATAAATCGTATGGACAAATGTTATATATATAGTATATATTCTAAAAATTCAAATTCAAAGTAGTACCATTCATGTTAGAAAATTCAAAGCGATGAATTAAAATTATTTTACATTAAAAATGCTAATTAATATTACTCTTAAGTAAGCGAGTATTTACGGTTCCCTAATATAGTAATTAAAGACGCTGCATCAACATTTAAAAACTATAACTTAAGTAATCTGAAAATATTTAATGATTATTTACTTGAAAAATAAATAACAAAGGATCTATGAAATATAGATTTTTTTACACTCTTTCAAAAATTCGAATCGTTCTTTCTCACAAAAGTTGCACCGGAACGGTTTCCACACTTCGAGAAAATCAGCTTCGAGATCTCAACAAAATTATCTGAGTTAATTCTTTAGCGAGGTGGTATAACTGATAGATTTTATGGTGATCCAATATTTCATTATATTCATTCAATGAGTAAGACCTGAAAGTTCAGTACACGCTGTGAACAAAAGATACAATCTCCAATGCTCCAATATCACCGCGACATCAGGCTACTTGTGGACTATTGGTCATAAACATATTTTTCACTCCATCGTTTTTCCGAAGATCACTTCATCAGGGATTTCTTTTTCACTTCATTGTTACCAATGTTGGAATGAAATATGATGTTTTTACATCACTATTAAGGGTACTTTTCAGTTTTGCCGGCGCAAGCGATAAAGTCGCCAATAATGGTACAACCCATGCCAAACGAAATATTCTCGCTGGTAACCTTTTACGCCTCATTTTCAAAACAAGTCGCAGCTTTTTTCTTATCAAGATTGATTGTTTCTTTCAATACTGCATATCATTACATATAATTTTTATCAGATAGTTTCAGTTTTATGTTTAAGGCAATTTTCGGTAATTAAGTTAATTAGGATGCAATCACAGCACTTACCCGAAGCCGAAGCCGAAAATATAGAAAAGGTAAAGTCAAGGGTTAAAATTCATCATCTAATGAGAATGCATTAGCGAAGTAAAGCACTGCAGTTTTACATAATTTCTGAGGTAGCTATTCGTACGAATTGAAAATATTTCTTGCATTTAACTTGTGTTCCAAATTAAGATTTAACTTGAAATTAATGTGGATAATTACTAAGAGCATTAGATTTTTGTAGAGTAGTTACGTGAGATAGATCGCTTGGGATCACGTGATATGAACCGGCGAATCAGGATGTTGAACATGAAAGCATAGTAGTAATTCTTAATGTCTTTTTACAAAAATTTGTTGTCTTTATTTATTGGCTTTTATAAAATTTTAAGCGACATTAAATGTTTATGCCTTCTTTTTTAAAAAGATCTTAGAACTAACATTTTTTTTATATTTTTTACGTGTATACTGTATGTTGTCGCCAATAAAGTCTGCTTGGCGAGATTTGCGCCGGCGAAACGGAAAAGTACTTTATTAAGCAAAGAATGGCTGAACTAAGATAAACAAGTAACATACATAGAACAGAAAAGTCTAAAACTGTGCAAGCGAACGATTTGCATTTGACGGGGTGCAATTCATAGAGACAAGTTGAAGTACTTAACAAAGAAATCTTGTTGGAATGAACAACCTGTGACACGGTGTGCTTCAATATCCAACGCTTTCTCTCAAGTCATTAATATAACTAAACCTCTATTAATGATCTAATCAAAATTTTGTTAATAGTTGGAATGTGTAATCGCAACACCTGTATTTCCTTAAACTACAGCTTTAAGATTATTACCTTTTCCAGCCTCTATCGAATAATCTGTAAGGCATTTCTTTCAATAACTATGGAGTTCTAAACACTCCATGATTTCAACAACCGAAACATTGACATGTTAGTGCAGTATTGGCAAGAGCAGATAAAAATATAGAGACTATATCACGGATTGATTTGTTACATGCTTTGCTGAACACTACAGTTTGACTGGAAAAACGAAACGGATTTATTGCCAGCCCAGCACCTTTCTGCCATATCTGAGTAGATTATCAAACTTTATATAACTGTTTGTAAAAGAACTACTGAATTTTAACTTAAAAATATTAGTAATATATGAACAATAAAAATATTTACTGACATAATAAATATGCTGTGGAATTAGCTCATTCTGTCACAATGTAATTATGACACTACAAGAGTCTAAATGGTAGTGGAATATCTTACATAGCAGAAAATATCTGGACAGAGAGAACAGCAGAAAATTGCATTTCGATACCACTCACTGGAATTCCCATTCAGCAATTCGGCATACTATCTCCCAAGTCAAAAGCACATTTCCAGCTTTGGAAGATGGTGGTGTGTGGTGTGGTGGTGTATTTAATTATGGCAAAGCAAACTAGGGCTATCTGCCTAACGGGAGGGATGCCTTCGTGGAGGACTTTCTAAGGGAAACTGGATCGTATACAGGTTACACATGGGGAAAACCACGAAAACACCCATGCAGCCAGCCCGTTCGCGGGATTCGAACCTCGGACCGAACTCCCAGTGTTCAGCAACTTTACCGCTCGGCCGCTGGTGGGCCTCCAGCTTTGGAAGAAGATGCAGCAAAGTATCTGTTATTGCTAGTTTGGTTTATATCTACAATACAACCTGATATGCATGAATGAATAATACATAATTAAGTGGTGTGGTGTATTTAATTATGGCAAAGCACACAAGGGCTATCTGCCTAAAGGGAGGGATGCCTTTCGTGGAGGACTTTCTAAGGGAAAAAACTGGCTCGTTATCACACGTTACAACATGGGGAAAAAAGAACCACGAACAAAAAAGCCCATGCAGCCAGCCCGTTCGCGGGATTCAAACCTCAGACCGAACTACCAGTGTTCAGCGTCTTTACCGCTCGGCCGCTGGTGGGCCTTAATACATAATTAACAAAGGTATATTAGTTTATATGACATTCAAGCCATCTTATTGATTTACAGCTTCATATCCAACAATTCAATAGCAGCATTAATTAAAAATATGTTATTAGTCTCGCTCTGACCTTACTAATTAAGCATGAAACAGTATCAGCAGCTTCATACATATTTGTTAAACCGAAACTAAACTACATTCGCTAGATGTGTACGTATCGCTATATACGTACGCATACACTTTAAATACAAAGCCTAGACTCGCATAAACTATTTTTACCTAATAATAAATAAGTATTTAAGAACTGACATCAACCTCTAGGTTTTTTAGCTTTGCAGCATCATCCACAAAAGGATAAAACACTTAAATACTCAATCGCTAGCAATACCAATAATTTCCATTTTTAACTTTTAACTTATTTACACATTTTCACAGGACTCTGAAAACGACGCTTTATATATGCCTGAGAGAGGTAGAAAGCTTACATAAAAAAGAAATTGTTTAAAAAACAAATAAATCTTACACAGTTAATACACAAATAAACATAGAATTTATCAGTTTAGAACATAAAAAAAATTACTAATTTAAGCTTTCCAGCAACTTACAGTACATAACATATCACTCCAACACTCCACATGTCTGTTGTATAGGACACCTTATCAAAATTGACGACTTCTGGTGCAACGAATTCTGGTGTTCCAAACAAGACTTGCAATTTCTTTTCCGGTTCGTACTTGCGAGCGAGACCAAAGTCAATTATTTTAATCTGATTTCCCGTCCTCGTCACGCACAGAATATTTTCTGGCTGAAAAATAAAAAGTTAGACATTCTTTTCCACTTTGAAGAACATTTTAGAATAATACACTAAAAACAACCACTAAAAATCCAGGGGAAATAAATTTGTACTTATTATATATTCCCTCCCTAGGCACTGTGCGGAAAGGGAATGATGTCCCGTGGAGGCCTTTTTATGGGAAACTGGCTCGTATCCATGTTGCCACATAGGAAAAATCACGAAACGCCCATGCAGCCAGCCCGTTCGCCTAGACTCGAAACCCGGACTGAACTACCAGTTTTCATCGGGCTTTTACCGCTTTTACCAGGGGGAGAATACCAATTAAAAAGCTAGCTATTGATAATTAAAACTAAAAAATATTAATAAAGATTAATAAAATCATTAATAAAAATTCCTAACCATTATCACATGCACGCCGATTGCCATATATTCTTAATTTTGTTTATTTTTCCCATAAAATTTTAGTATTAGAAAGAAATAAAATTTATATTTCACATTTACAAATTTTAACTTAAATTTCACGTTTTAAATTTTATAAATAAATTTACGAATTATTAAGTTTACTAATAAGTTTTCTACATAATAGGTATGCAAAATAAATTTTGCTATTGGTGTGTAGTTTTGATAGTTGATTCAACAAATATAAGATTGAAAAAATCAGCAAGAATTATAAAGGAGAGCGTAATAATCAAAGCATAACTGAATTAAACTTTATACGAAAAAAGCAAAAAATGTCAAAGTAATTCTTGAAATTGAGATGTGGCCTTTATATTTACATAATAATAAACATAAATGAGTATGCAGAAGAATGATAAAGCACCGCACACAGTTCAGTTCCTATCTAAGAATAAAGTTTACCTTCATGTCCAGATGTAATATGTTCTTTGAGTGCATATATTCAACTCCTTCGCATATTTGTCGCACAAAAATGGAGCAGGCCTTTTCAGTTAGACAAAAATCGTCACTGATCACCCTTTCGAAAAGCTCCCCACCTTCAATTCTGTAAAAGATTAATTCTCAAAGCAAAACAATATTTAGACTATTATTGAAATACTAATATAGGGTACTTACGAAAAATCCCGTCGACCATTTTTGTGTATGAAAGAAAAGACGACAAACTACACGACTTTTCGCCAAAAATGGAAAAGTTTTCTTCAAACACGCTGTGTAATCTTGATTACACGTGTTAGTTATTATTCTTGAGTTAAAGACTCCTTTCTTTCCCTCTATCACGCATTTTCGAAAAAAGAAACACCTTTGGGACCTGCCTACTACAAAAAAGCATGCTGTTGAATATTTCCAAAGTTATGGAATCTTACCAGCCTAGAAAATGTGTTAATGACCACGAAATGGCGCTTTATTTAAAAACTGAGAAACCTCTATCACGCAATAGCGCGATTGGCGCCATCTCTTGTGGTCGACGGGATTTTTCGTAAGTACCCTAATATATTATTAAGTAATTTTGTATTGAATCTGTTATTTAGTATTATTAATTTATGAATACATTAATATGACTTCTAAAAAGTTTATATACTACGCTCCAAAACACACATCCACATATCAACTATACAATTACATGCACAACTATAAATCTCATAAGAGGCTGGTTGGTGACTTAGTGACTTTCCTTTCATTTCTTAAATAGGACCCCTGAACGGTCCACTTTAAGAAATGAAACGAAAATATTTGCAGAGCTTCAACTGATGATAGTTTTACTTCCGTTATTTAATTTTTATACGGAAAGCAAAAGAAAACCAATGAGCAAAACTTAATTAGTCATACTAAAAAATTCTACCATTAAGAGATCAAATGAACTTGCATATTTTTAATTAAAACATTAGGAAAACCGCACATAAAATATTGTTAATAATAGTTAAAAAATTACATATTGCTCTTTTACACTCGAAGTAGCTGTTTATATTTTTAATTTAATTTATATAAAGAAATCTGAAAGGTTTCAGATTTTAAATTACGTCCAAAGGGGCTTTTGTTTAACATTTTGAGTGTTACCTTTATTTATTAAATATCATGTTCTTCGCACTTAAACCGCAAAAAATGCAGTTCAAGAGCAATATCCACAAATAATTTTAAATTGAGCATATCTTTAGAATCTCCGATACAAAGTCTCACGCGCTGGAGATAAAAATGTTTTTTCTGTACAACGCATTGTTTGCTTTGAAATCCTTGAGTTTGTTAATCAAAAATTCGTTAAAGGTTTACAAAATATGAAATCGATAATAAAACAAATTCCAAATTTCAAATTTGGGCTTCCAGATGCCCATATTCGCAGTAGGATTACGTCATTCAAAACTGGATGGCTGTAGGTACCATTGTTTTATCACAATGAGAGAAACATATATATATTTAATATTAATATTTTCTTCATTATTTAATTTCTTTAAATATAATACAGGGCGATAATATTTGGTGGCAACAGTTTGAAAAGTGAAACTGTTATTCAGAATTCGACGCAAAACCGTAAAACGAAAGCAATAATCTATCAGGGACAAATCCCCTATGGACTAATAAATTAAGCTTTCGAATGCATATTTCTAAAAGTTACGTTAAAGAAACATAAAATTCCAAACGTACTAGTTTCAAATTATCATTTTTAGAAATATTAGAATTTTATATTTAATTTATTTCAATATTTCTGAGACTCCTATAGAAGCGAATGAAAGTGACTTGAGTGAGATAAATAAAAAATAGGTAAAGAAGCTTTTAACCTTCTTCCTCTAAATGATCCCCCATAAGGTAACGAATAATTTACTAGTAGGCTCTTTCTTCTAAAAGGCACATTTAACTTTAATTTCATGCATTTTGATTAAAAAGTATCGCATAGACCAAAATTATCACATTCTGAACGCCTATTTAATCTTATAATCGTTTCAGAAACACCATGTACAAAAGCTTCCCATACCTAGCTAATTTTTCTTTTATCTTTTTAATAAATCAACCATTTAGATGCATTTCGAAGCAGTTTCCATTTATCTTCATAAACTTATAAATTTAATTTATTTAGCAGCATTAAATATTTGCAAAATAATACATTTTAAACGAGCAGAATTCTGATCATTTCGAAATAGATGTATATGTTCTAATTCTCATTCGAGAAAATTTTAACTGTTTTATGGCCTGAAGAATTTATAAACATGGCATTGAGTTAACGTAAGTTATTTTTTGGGAGGGGGGAGAAAAAATGGGCTTTTTTCTGAAACGATTTCTCGATTTTGGTCGCTTTCACGTTTCTAAAAAAATTGTCAACATCATTTGAATATTTTTAAAAGGCATCGGGTTGTCAAGTACTTATAATAGTGAAATGAAACAAAAGAGCTTTCGAACGCTCTTGCTATGGAACAGTACTTAATGTCTTTGAGACAAGGAAGTTTTTCAGTGCATTGTATTATTTATTTTTCAACCATGCTCGTGCATTATTCGTTAGTAAATGTTTGTATTTCTAATAACTAGTAATTAATGAGTTTTCGCCTGAAAACTCGGAAATTAATTACTGAATTATAGAATTCTACATTATTGAATAAATTACAGATTTTTTAAATTTTAAATGAATTTTATAATATTTCAATTAAAGATATTAGAAAGGTTACTTTTACTCAAACAAATTAACAAAGCAAACTAAACTCTTTTTTTTTCTTGTACGCAGTAAAGCAAGTATTGCAAGCGTGAAAAATTTCGGGTATCGTATTTGTTACGTATTAATTGTTTTTTTTTCCCAAGCTTAAGTTTTGCTTACTTAATTCAGTTTTGATTAGTAATTGAAGTTATTAATTTTTGCTTTAGATGTTTAAAGTTGATTGTAAGTTTAAATTGCAACTTTTGTAAACATTAAATTTAGGTCTGGTTGCTTTAAAGTTTTCTTGTGTTGAAGTTGTTTAATTTTTAATATGAGTTTAGGGACTTAAGTTTACTTGGTTTTTGTACTTTTTGTTTTTGACCCCTAAGGTTGTTTAATTTTAACTTTAATTATTTTTAAAGTTTTTTTTTTTTTGCTGCACTTTTAGTATGTTAATTTTTTTTAACTTAAGGTCACTTAATTTTACCCCTCTTTCTATTAAATTTATCGAATACATATTTTCAGACTGGTGGTAAGGTAAATGATTAGTAATTGAAATTCAGTCTGGTTAAGGAGTGTGTATACTTTAATTTCTATTGAAGAAACAATTTATATTGTGCTGACATTTGTTAATGAATTTAATTGTTATGTAATAGTTTAATTTTTAATGTCCTAAATTCGTTTGTGTTGAATAACTATTCACTGGTTCTGAAAAATTTTCTCATCCCAACCGTAGGCTTGAAATTCACTCTCAGAATCCCTTATCAGGGAATTACTGCACCCCAAAATTATTTCGCTCAAGCGTTAAAACACATGTAATGATTCCACCACATGTTCAGATAATGTGTTCAGCCGTCATCCAAATTCACAAATTGTAACTGTAAACCTTCAATGCCTTCAAATAAACGTTTGTTTGAGTTTACTTACCTTGTTTTTTAATGAATTTTAATTAATTCTTTTACACTGGACCAATATCCTATATTACTGGATTCACTTTTTTTTTTTTTTAGTCCAAAGGGATTTCAGTCCCGAAGGACTATTGCTTTCGTTTTGGCATTTTGCGTCGGACTCATAAACGTCGGTTCACTTTTCAAACTGTTGCCACAAAATGTTAGAGTCCGCATTATATTTGAAAAATTAAATAATGAAAAATCTGCATAATGATTGTCTATTTCTCGCATTGTGATAAAACAATGGTAATAGAGCCATCGAATTTGAATGACGAAATCCTACTGGAATATGGGCATCTGAATCCCAAATTTGGAATTTGTTTATTATAGATTTTATATTTTGTAAAACTTTAACGAATTTTTGATTTACAAACTCAATGCTTTAAAAGCGAGAAATGGCAACGTTATATAGAAAAAAAATACTTTTATCTCCAGCTCGCGAGACTGTGTATATCGGAAATTCTAAAGATATGCTTATTTAAATTATTTTGCGATATTGCTCTTGAACTGAATTTTATGGTTTAAGTGCAAAGAACTGATATTTAATAAATAAGGTAACACTCAAAACGTAAAAAAAAACGCCCCTATGGACGTAATTAAAATCTGAAAAATTTCAGATTTTTTTTTTTTTTTTTTTTTTTTTTTTTTTTTTTTAACACAACGCAACTATATATATATATTGATTGTTTTTTTGAATGCGATTTACCATGTATTGATGTCATATAGCACTATACTCTGAGAATATTACTGTTGTGGAGAATTTTTCACACATTTACTACAACATAAGTATTAACATGCATATGTTCAATTACACAGTGGTGTTGTTTAGTAGTATAAATATTTGTAATATGTTATATTGTTCTATAGTTCAATACATAACATATTTCAACGAAAATATCCATTTCCATTCCAACGATGTTTTTGCGTTATATCCGTATACCCGGACAGAATAAAGGATTCTGAAATGAATTTAAAATGGATTCAGAAGAGATTTTTTCGTGACGTCTGCATATACGTATGTATGTATCTCGCTTAACTCAAAACTAGTAGCCGTTGAAACGTTGAAATTTTGTATATGACACTTCTATAGCATACACCTCCCTTTTTGGTGGCAATGGGTCGCACCAAAAGTATATAAATATATGTAATATATATATATATATATATATATATATATATATGTATACCTACTCTGTTTCCGGCTTCGTGAGTAATTTTTTTTCTTATATGTTGATAAAATTTGCATTTTCTGCTTTAAAAGCGATTGAATTTTATTGTTCTTATGTTTCGGTTAAGGTTTTTATGTCTTTATTTAATATGCATACAATAGTTGTAGAATTATCAACAATTTAAAAGTTGTTGCTCCACTAAGCCTATCAACGCGACCATTTGTTTACATTTATTACAATAGCATAGTGAATTAAGTCAGTTTCTGCACTAATTTCAGTGTCGTTTTGCCTCGTGGGGCCAAAAGGTTTTGAGCACCGAAAAATCTATCTTTTTCCCTAATTTTAATTTAAAGTTAAATTTTAATTGTAAAAATATTTATTAACAGTTTTGAGCTCTATTTGGTGTTTTAAGATTTCCTGTATATTACAATTTTTAATGAAGATGTTTTGTGTTTTTATGTATTTTTTCCTAGCCGCGAAATAAGAATTAAATTGATTGAATGAGAAATATATTTTTAATGAAATTCGAGGAAATAAGTTTAAATAAGATGCAGCAAAAGCTATTCATAATTTAATAGGCCGTACAAGGAAGTCATGTTGTGTCCACATCAGATTTTTTCTTTCACAGCAAAAATTGATCGAATAAAATATCTCAAAACGTAAAGAAGAATTTTAAACGGGCAACGTATTTCTTTGAAGCTTGAATGATAGAAAAATGGAAGCTATTAAAAAATGTAATTTAGGGAAGCATATTATTTAATGTTGGATATCTTTACGGATTTTGCGCAAATGCGATAACTGAATTCTATTATTTTAGTTGTACGCAAATACGCATTACACCACGAAGGCATGCGGAGGGAAGGGAGAAAATACCTTATATACTCTCCTTTATAAAAAGTTACCGTGGTTAGGGAGCCCAGTCGCCAAATCCTGGTGGTGACGAACTACCGTTCACCACACTTTTCATTCGGGCGCCACTTGTAGATTCGTTAAGTTTTTTGGTGCTGAAGACGTGAAAATGCGCTCTGCTCTCGTTGTAACTCTAACCCTGGATACCTCAAACACGCGTCAAGTATGCTTCCAATTACACCATGAAGGCATGCAGAAAGGAGGGAGAAAATAATTTTACTTCCCCCTTTAAAGAGAGTCTGGAGATTAGGAAACTCAATCGGCCAAATCTTGGTGGTGACGAATTATCGCCCATCATATCTTTCAGTTTGGGCGCCACTTCGGGGCCAGAGTCATTATAATTTTTTGAAGCAGTAGAGTTGAAAAATGTGCAATGCCCTCGCAGGGATGCGAACCCTAGACCTCTCAAATACGCGTCAGGAGTGCTTCCAGTGAAAAAATGAAGGGATGGAGAAAGGAGAAAGAAAATACTTTGTATAGTTCGCCATTATTTTTAATATTTATTATGCATTTATATAAAATCAAATTAAATTCAGAAAATAGGCAAAAGGGATATTTGCTTATTTTAATAGAAATATTTACATCATCTGATGATTACATTACCTGATGCCATCGAAATTAATCAAATATTTCTATTTAATTCCTTTAGAACTTTCCTTCAGAAACATGACTGTACACTTTTTGAAGCATGTTATTTAGGGATAGTCACAAAAATTCTTGGCTTGTTCAAGATTCAAACAGCACGGAACTCTCGAATTCGTCGAAACATTTAAAGTGCACTCATTTTGCGGGACTCGAACTCGAGCCCAAATGCGTTGTAGTCAGTTTTCACTCATCCTACTGCTCTTGGCAGTACGTAGGCCACTTTTGCGATTTTTAATGTTTCTTAAATGCATTGTCACACTCATATTTGATTGCCGATTAGAATATAAGATAAATCAAGTTTCTAGAATTTTACCAAAAAAAAAAAAAAAACATATATTTTTTCTTATATTTAACACGTTGTGTTTTCTTCAGACATCAGTCTAGGTTTTCTGTATCATAGAGCAAAATATAAAGCCATTGGTGGCTATAAAGACGAGGTCGATTGGTAATGAATGTGTGGAATGTTGTGTGAAACGGGGGAATACTATTATCTGATGCACTGTTACATTTAAGCAATTTATGCAGTTAGGTATTCCTTTTTAAGAATATTTCATTATCCACGTTCACGGATTATTAACACGGATTAGAGAAAATGGTGCTGATCTTCCGGCATTATTTCCAACAAATTATTGCATGGAATAATCAAAATAAGGGAATCCAGAACTTCCTTTGGTAGTAAAGCGAAAATGTCTTTGTATACATCTAAATATCTTTTAACTATTTTTGACGTAATTTTATTCATTTCGTTTTCCCGAATCGCTATGGTCGATCTCTTACTTAGGCATTTATCGATATATTGAAAAGAATATGAGCTAAACATACAATTCTAAAATAAGGCACATTTCGTTATGTCCATTGTCGAACGCATCATACAGTTGTAAAAGACGAGGCATTTGCAACATTCGCATGATTTCTACCTCCCTTTCGACATCTTTGCGATCTTCCGGCCGATGAGTGACGATAAATTTGGCTGCCAGTTTTCGACCAGTACTTTTTTCCGTGCATTTGTAGACTGTACCAAACTTGCCTCTAGAAAAGAAAAAAAATCATGTCTTTTTGGAATAAGTATATATTTATAACAAAAAGCAAAAATGAGTGATTAAAAATAGCATAGAATTTCAAGTAATGAGACTACTTGAGGTTTTCAAAACTGAGTGTTCAGGAAACTTCTAGAATACCGAAGTTAGCTAGGAATAACCAAGTTTTGTCAATTTGGAGACAAAAATTGTCACTAAACCTGATAGAAGGACTTCTGGCCATATAACTACGTCTAATCTATTATCTCAATTACTGAAATCGATCGTTATAGAATTACACCGATCAACAACATAATACACGATATAAACAATTTACACGGTAAGATGTGTTGAAATTTAATCTAATAAGGTAAAGATTTTAAGTGAATGTTTTGTGACTTGCGTAAATTTTTTTTTTTTTTTACAAATTTGCACTTTGATATACACGTTTTTTATTTTGTACTTAAATTTGTGCATTATTTCACTGTAGGTTTATGTTTCTTCATTACTTACCTTATCTAGGTTTTAATTATCTAGGTTTTAATTGGTACGTATTTACTGCATTTTTATACTTTGATTGCTTTATTACTAAGCTGTATTTGTAATTCTGTAAAAATAGAAGTAAGAGTAGTGAACATTATTTCAAGAAAACCAGATAGTTAGGCTGCTGCAGCCCAGAGGGGCGCTATAAAATGTTGAGTACTTACGTATATCCCGTTGGCCGTGAAACTATCACTAAGCAGCGCGATTTAACGCCAATTATAGATGAGCGTGACGTAACAACATACTCCTAACATTTGCAATTTCGTCTGATCTTATCCCGATTGATTCTCGACAAGTCGCCTCTTGTTTTTCTGAATACTCATATAAATTAATCATTATTGCTGCCCATTTTCTTGAATTTTCAATAAAATGATTAGAATTTGGGACTTGCCTTTTAGATAACAGTAAGCACGCTCAAAGTCACGTGACTATATAGATTAGTTTCAAAGTTAACATAGATTAGTTAATATAGATTAGACTCAAAGACTAATATAGATTAGTTTCAAAGTTATGGGATCCTACCACAAACAACGTATGTATTAATCAGCATGATACGGTCAGCTGAATATCATTCGACAGATTAGCAATATATTAGAAGAATTACCTGTGGGATGTTTATACTAATATTGCTCTAAACAGAGCTTCCGGTAAAATCAGGTGTCCTAACAATCGATAGAAGACTTACACGAAGCGTAAAAACCATGCAAGTCGAATACTTACTCTTTTTTAAATAAAGAAGCATCAGTTCCTTCAAATTTTTGCAGAAATGATTAGTGCAACGTTGACAGGATATCCATCAACTTCCATGGTTCGATGGTAGATAACTTGAACAGTCGACGAGGTAATACTTAAGACTAACGCTAATTTGGCGATATATGATGAATTTTTCATTGATTTAGTGACTTTTCGAAAACACGTTTTCGTCATCCTAGTATTCGTATTCCGTGTTTTGAATGTTCTGGCAGCGCCGCTGTTCCTTTTGACTATGATATAACTATGAGGTTGCAAGGAGTTGTGAGTCAGTTGAAAGTTCTATCTAGCATATCTCCAGATTAGGAAGTATCCTTGAACAACTCTCTATTGCTTGTTTCATAGTTGTAAATAAACAACAAAAATTCTCTTGCGTGTTTCGAAAATATACAATTAAAATTCCATTATCTCTAAACCTTATTACTCCTAGTCGCAGTTAATGTGCATTTTTAGGATCGAATTGATAATATTCTTTTTTGCATTACCCGCGTCTCTATTCTTCATTGTGCTTCTCTCTAACACTTGATCCCATCCATATAAAAGGATTACATAATTTCTGTTTAGCAAATATTAATTTTAAAAAGCGTTGTGTCAGAAAATTGTTACTGAATTTTTGGCCCTATTTAGCTTTATCGTAAATTAATGTGCTGTCCATATAACTTTTAGTGGTATGGGTGTACAGGGTTTTAAATGCGTACAATCATTTATAATTCTAGGGATAGAAAAATCTTTGAGAAACAGCGATATAAAATACCATAAAATAACACATATTTTAAATAAATTTTAAAATTATCAATACAATATAAATTATCATTTCAATGACCAAATTCTATTAAAAGGATGAACTTTCTCTCAAAATGCATCTTATATTTACAAAAAAAAGAAGGAAGAGGAGTATTTGAAGCAAATGCAGCAGCGTAAAGACTGTTTATTCAGCTTTCTTCATTTTCTTTACTTCCATAAAGAGAATAAATATCTGCTCGGAAACAAACAGCTTATTAAAACAGATAACATTTATAGCTTATGTACATCCGTTCCTTTCAGTATCTTTTATTACTGATGGAATAATGCTTCTGAAGCCAACAAAATTTCTAATCATTACGAAATTGCCTGATAATACATGACTAAGAAATTATTTATACTATCCTACACTGATAATTTATAACGATGTCATTAAGATTCACATCAGTAATTATAAACTAACTGTCATGATCCCGCATTTATGAGTCATTAACATTGTAAACAGAACCATACAAAAAAAAAAAAAAAAAAAAAAAAAAAAAAAAAAAAAATTCGGGCTTAACATGAAAATCGCAGCATTCAGGAAAGAGTAAATTCGTTAATTTCTTTATTTTCCTCAAAATTAAAATTATTCTTTGCAAATATGAGACTTAAAATACTAGGTTCATTTTCGACAGTTAATAGCAGTCAAATACTGCTATTATTCTGGGAGAATGAATTACTTAAATTAGTAAAATTTACGCAAAGAGGAAGCGAATACCCAAATATTACATAAAACATTAATTAATAATGTTAAGATGAAAAGCGAACGTATTACAATGAACTGGAAGTTTTATATGCTTCTGCCAGCTTACGCTGATTTTTGCAGTTTTGAATCTTAAAGTTTAAACGCATTGGCTTCGAATCTCAATTTAATAAGGTATCCAGCAGTAGGACTATTTCTTAAATACCATTTATATCGCATATTTTACATTTTACGAAATTTGTAGCATTGATTATTCATATTTAAGACAGAAAATCACTTTGATGATATGTACACTCTTGGTCATTAAAATTAATTCAGCATGATTCACATGAAGCTAGTACACAAAGAACGTTAAATTTTGCTTAAAAAATAAAACACGCTGGTATATGCAAATGATTAGCATTTCACGTTGTTACTAACCCGTATAAAAGCGGAAAGCAATGACAGTTTTTCATTCGGAAATCCTGCCTAATCGCTTTTTGTCTTGGAAGTCATGTTATGCCTCGTGTATTAATAAAACGTACCTCAGAAGACATCATATCAATATGTCGATCCGGCATAGCAGATGACCGTACTGCGCACCAGCTGCTTGCTTGGCCAACATTTAATGACTCTTATAAGTACAACCAATGGGTCACACACAGCAGTTATTCGGGATGTCAACGGTCCCGCTCATTAATGTCCGGGATGACGGACATTTTGTTCCCATGCCTGTTATAAAGCGTACAGCCACATCATGTAGCCCTGTGTCAGAAACCTGGATGTACTTGTACAGCACTATGTATTCGTACGAACGATGCGACGACATCTACGGATCTACGAATTTCTAGAAGGACAACAATAGTTTTCCTTGATACCACAGCACAAAAATCAGCGCATAGTTTATGATGTGTTCAATGATGTACGTTAAGTGATCAGTGGTATAAAATAATCTCTTCCGACGAATACCGCCTTTGTTTACGGTATCAAATGATGGCCACATCCTTCTGTAGCGGCACCGATGCGGAACGAACGTTGGAAGTTTGAATTCTTCTTCGTTATATTGAACAGCACCTGGACTGATGTCATGGGATGTCACAGGTACACAACCCTTTTTTTACATCTAATCCACATATCTGGTACCTGACAAACCACCGTAACATTACTCAGGTTTTAATGCCCATATCTGCGCCAGATCTTTGAGGCCTTCGTTACCTAATGGTGACTTTTATAAAGTTTGCGACGTAAACTTTAGAAAAGTTAATTTTGTTAAATTTATTTCTGATTTAAAAGAACATTATCCTTCTAGTTCGCTGGTTTCTTCATTACAAGATAAATACGTCTTGCGTGTCATAATGATAATCTAAATTATTAATTTTTTCCTCTCTAAGAATTAAGATTTCATTCTGGTTTCATTAGAATCCAGTCACACGCTTTCGAGAAAGCCTGTATTTTAACAGGTGCTGGAAAATGCTGTTTGTCTTCAATAAATGGTAAGTTTATGTTACCGGAGCGACACGTGACATTAAACATAAACGTTGGACCGAAATCTAATTAAATGGTGACAACTCTGACGACACCTAAAGCTTCACGAGAAAACATTAATCAGTAATAACACTATTGCGTAATACAGAGAAACATAAATAATGTCTAATAAGTGCAATACCAAAGTTGTGGGCTATGCCAAATTTGTGCAACTGTCTGATGTTTTCGGGTACAGCCTTGGAGTTGTGTGCATTAAATATAACACAGCTATACTTGATGTGATTCGAACAGGCTACCACATATATCGTGTCGGCGCCCAGTTGATGGGCTCTGTTATAACAGAAATGTACCCAATAAATTTTCTATTGCGTATTATATTGTTTAACGTCAAATATGGAACAAAAATAAATGGCTTTTGAGATTTCGTTTAAAAGGTTTTAAGAGGAAATCTGCATCATGGAATTCACAATACTATGAATAAATCTAGACACTGTGAGACTAGTAGTAACGCTGAAGTTGAACGAATTTTCAGCTCAATGACAACATTTCCGCAACCAAAAAAGATTTCTTTGGTTGTAAAATACTATATTTCAGATTTAACAACAATCTCTTTAAATGACAAATACTTAATCTAACCCTAGTCCCTATGTATAAACGTTTTTGAAAAATCATAGCTACACCAAGAAGGTCAAGTGACCTGAAGGAAGAAGAAAATAATGTGTGATAGATTCTTTTGTGTACATTGTGCCGCATATTCAAATTTATTTGTAATTACTGTGATACTTGGTTTTTTTTTAATTTAATGATTTTTTTCATATTAAAATGTTTTCTTTTTTATATACAAATATTCGTAATTTTGTTTTGGCAAAAATGAAACATTTAATTAGAATTTAATATCTTTAAAAAGATTTCAGAATTTCACCATTGTTTGTACAGGCGATCGGGGAGACGGATCTGAGGGTCTCCCATACTTTTTTCGCTGCCACAAATCCACTCGAGGGGACTTTCATCTCTCCATTATTTTAAGTGTCCGCATGCTGCACGGACACTATACATTTACAAACTACCATGCTTGACACTATACATTAAAAACTACCATGCTAGTATTTGACCCTAGTTCCAACGATACAGACAGCACTGATAACCAATATACGATTCGATATGGCTTCTTCGTTTTCAACAGAAAAATGTAAAATTGCTACTGTCCACGCCGTTCTGTATTTTTTGAAAACACAAGGTGCTCGAATTTTTGCCTTGTCTGGCATGTTTTTCATGTCTTTCATTACTGAAAAGCTTATCAATAATTGCATAAGGACGGCATGGCAGCACTGCTCAGATAATACGAAAGATGAACTCTGGCATAGAAATGAAGCTGCAATATCCGTAACACTATCCAAAATCTATTCGAATTCATGCCTAGCCGCATGCAGCTGCTATTGTTGGCGAAAGGGGATACTCAGCGCATTGATTTCTGTATGCTCTGTGTCTCAACATTTCCTGAAATTTTAATCCTTCCTTCTTATATTACAATGAATTGGTACAATAAATATGACTCTCTCTTCTAATTATTTTCTTTTATATTTTAGCAATATTAATGATTAGCAGTGTAATAACCTCACATCTAAGAAATGTCAACAGTACATATTTTCAATGAGTTAATAATCTTATGCATACAGCCAGAAAGTCTTCCCAAACGAAATAAAAAAAAGCTCTCATAACATTACAGCTTAAATATAAAGTTATTGGCAAAACGTTAGAAAACATATGCTTGAACAACACTTAAAGCGCTTGACGGAGAAAGAAGTCAACATTCAAAATTCATTAATATATAACTACAAAAGACACAAATTACAGGAAACAATATACCTTCCTAGTTCGTCGTGCAATGTATATTCTTCTTTAACATCTTTGCGTATTTTTACCTGAACATCTCTGGGTTCAAACGCTAAGTCGAGATCAGTAACTGCAAAATAAAAAAAAAAAATCATTAGATACCATTTGGGAAATAAAGATTACAACCGACTGCAAACATTAGCAATTTTTTATAATTCCAGCAATAGAAAAATGTGAAAAAATTATATTAATAAATGTATTAAAGTTATTTAATGACAAACCTGAGCCCAAAAGCCGCTGGGGAGAGATACTATGAAATTAAGTAAGATTATGAGAAATAAAACATTCATGGTAAAAAAAAAAAAGTCTGAAAATGTCTACCTTTATTAGTGATTTCCAAGCCACTTAAGGTTGACAGAACGAATTGTTTTATTCCTCAGAATGTTCATGACTTGTTATTTAGTACCTCATCATGTAATTTTAAATATTGTTGCATGAGTATGGGTTTGTAATAGATTGAATGCACACAGAAGTGATGACTGCTTGATAAAATTTATTTTACCAAAAGGAACATTTTAGAGCTCTGGAGCTTTCTACAAAAATACTCATTCAGCTCTCCACAGTATTACAAAATACAATCAGTAGTCACACTTCAAACGAGCCCACCAGCGGCCGAGCGGTAAAGACGCTGAACACTGGTAGTTCGGTCTGAGGTTCGAATCCCGCGAACGGGCTGGCTGCATGGGCGTTTTCGTGGTTTTCCCCATGTGTAACGTGTATACGAGCCAGTTTCCCTTAGAAAGTCCTCCACGAAAGGCACCCCTCCCTTTAGGCAGATAGCCCTCGTGCGCTTTGCCATAATTAAATACACCACACCACCACACTTCAAACTATTGAGAATATTAAACACAACGCAATGCAAAGCTTATCTAAAAAGCAATATCTCAGTATGATTTTGATTAAGAATTTTATAAAATTTAAACCAACCGCAAGATCGTTGCTTTGCCTAATTTTGTGATTTATAGACTATCTTGCCAACGTGGTTTGTGTTATATCGGGCGAAAGGAAGTTTATGTTCGCATCAAGAAACACGAGTCTTATGTCCGGAACGAAAAATAAACAATTTTTCGATCGCTAATGATATTTAAAAATTTAATCATAGTTCTAATTTTGAATGCGTAAAAATTATCAAAATGTTTCTTCAGTTGATGAAATGGATATCCTTGAAGCTTTTCACTTTTATAAAGATTAACTAATGACTTGATATCTTGTTTATGCCTTGATAAGTTAATGGCTTTAATTCCAATCGAGTTTGGCCAACCAGCGGCCGAGCGGTAAAGTCACTGAACACTGGTAGTTCGGTTCGAGGTTCGAATGCCGCGAACGGGCTGGCTGCATGGGAGTTTTCGTGGTTTTCCCCATGTGTAAAGTGTATACGAGCCAATTCCCCTTAGAATGTCCTCCACGAAGGCATCCCTCCCTTTAGGCAGATAGCCCTCGAGGCTTAGCCATAATCTCATACACACACACACATACACATCCAATCGAGTCCTTAACAATTTTGGTAACTCAATTTTTCATATTTCTTTGCTATTTCTGTGGAAAGATGATGCTACCATATAGTTCACTTTACGTTTTCGCTTTTAGTATGAATACGGCCGCGAATGTTTCCTTTTTTGCTCCTGATGAAAAAGCATCCACTTTCGAAATTGATGGAATCTTAATTAAAACCTACGACAAACAAAATGGTGTTGCTTTAGCTAATTTTATACTGGAAAGGATGTCAAACTATTTATTAGTTAAGATGTTAAGAAATGAAGTCACTTCATCTGTGGATTTAGCCATTTTCATTAGTGATGCTATATGCTGGATTAACGTTAGTCAAAACAGATGACAAATTAGGCTTTTACAAATGAGCAGAGACTCCATTTTTGAATATTAAAGACAAATTTATTGGAGTGAAATCTTGTAAATTACGCCTATTTAGGCTGGATATTAAAGAATCTAATTTTTCGGGAATATGTCTAGGAAATATGGGAAGGACTTTCCATAGGAAGTTTCTGTTACATAAAGATTTACATAACGTATGTAAAAATATACGAAAGCATGCAAAATAACCACTACCTTCTGCTACCAAAAATCGGATACACTATGAAATTATGACGTATTTTGGGAGTCATTTAGTTGTAGGTAATGTTATTTTGAGATTAGAAAAGGTTATTTATTTAGTTTTTCATATTCAAACTAAATGTTTTAGCAATGAGACTAATAAATTTTCCACTTTTTATTAGCAATTTTGAGTTTTGCTCTATTTTTCTTGAGATAGCTGAAACCAACTGTTCAGACATTGAAAAAGGCTACAATGTCCGCAAATAGTGTATGAAACTTTGTCAACAGTACAACGAAAATTATGAGCTATTTTATTTTTTTTAAAGGAAGAAAGTGGTAATTGCCAAATTTTGGGAACACTACCTTGGTTTCATTCTGCGACGAGTAACAGTCCTAGCGGTATTCGTGAACAGAAATGGCGTCTCCGTCATGCTTGCGGTTACCAAAAAACTTCATCTTTCCTATAGAATAATATCAAGGCTATAGTCTGTAACGTAACATCACGCCTATTAATAACTTCTAAACATGCATTACTGTAAACTCTGAACACGTCAGAAGAGCGTACTTGGCAGAAAATGGAATATCGTACCGATATCTTAAGTGCAAACAATGCTGCGCATGCCAAGACATATTGATTTAAAACATGGATATGTCTATCTTTGACGCACTCAAGTTTTCTTCCTGCAATTTTACGAGGTTTCGCTTTATAAGAAACCTCAAACTATACACATCTGTTAATACTCTATGTATTTAATTGGAATTTCGAAGAAGAGACAATTTAGAAATAAGGGAAATAAATTCTTTTACAAACATAACAGCAAGATTAATGAAATTGTTTTCACATCAAGGTCAGAAAGCCGATTACTAATTTTGTTTTCTTTTCAAACACGACTGATGCTAACGCACAGAAACAACTGTTTGTAATATCAAGTAAAATACGTGAAACGGAGATTTTAAAAGAGAGTTCAGGAGTTCAATTTCCGTTTTTGTTTTTTTAGCGTAAGGATCAAACTGTACAAACTTAAGTTCGTAATCTAAATTGTTAACTGCAGAAACTGTCTGCACTTTGTCTTTCAAGATCGTAGAATGATTTCCGTGGTCTCAGCCGTTCTCAAACGCAAACATTATCGCCTCTACCTTCCTCCCAGAACGTTTTTCTTTTTTACGTTTCTTCTTCTAAAACTATGACGCTGCGCTGATGAAAAGCAATTTTAAAAATGGTCCATCGGGCAGACGTCCAAAATCAGACACTATTCTATCCACTGAGAAAGACAAATTGTTTGGAGACACTAAAGCTGAGAGTTTTTTTTAAAGAAAACATTCGAGATTGTTGTAGGAGGAAAGTACATTATTATTTTTACAAAGGCCTTCGCATCATTTTTGTGCCAGCAAACTGAGTTCTTTAAAGCACAGACATTTACAGCAAATAGTTAAGCTTGACGTGTCCCAGAAATGTTTTTCAGAAGTAAGATTCTAACGCAATAATTCAAACAAGCACCTGATTTAGACGTTAACAATTGTTTCCCCTTTAAGTTATTTATATTACAACGTGAAAAACTTGGAAATGTGTGGACTAAAAAAATATCAGAGAAAATGTGTCAGCTAAAATATACTTCAAAATGTGCAACAGGAAACGATGTTATTGGAGAATTTTTTATAACAACTAAATTACACAATTCTCTGTTGTAATTATTAACTAGGGGTTTATAGTTGATTTAACAAGTTTAACAAGTTATTTTAAAAGCTATAATGCTAACAAATTAATCCACTAACTCTTAATTGATGTTGTAGTTTACTTGGGGATGGCAAAGCACGTGAGGGCTATCTGTTTAAAGGAAGGAGAACGCCTTCGTGGAGAACTGTCTAAGGAAAAATGGCTCGAATCTATATTACACATAGGAGAAACCATGAAGACAACCATGTAGCCAGTCCGTCTGCCTTGAATTGAATACAGATCAAACTACCACTGTTCCGTAACTTTACCGCTCTGCCGCTGGTTGACCAGCACTTAGTCGGAGTAAATATACTATCATCAATATCCGTTTAATTTTACTTCCTTGTACAAAGTGAAGGAGGTATTGCAATCGCGAAAAATGTGAGAATCACATTAAAAAAAAATATCCATTTTGAGCGCTCTCGAATCCATCTGAACGATGTTTCAGAGGAACATCTGTACGTACGCACAAAATAAAGGACAAAATAAAGGACTAGCTCATAATTTTCGTTGTACTGTTGACAAAGTACATTATTTCCCGAAAACTGATTATGAAATGGATTCAGAAGAGATGTTTTCGTGAGGTTTGTAAGTACGTACGTATGTATCTCGCATAACTCAAAAAAGAGAAGCCGTAAAACAATGAAATTTTGCATATCAGATTGCTATCGCATGTAGTTGTGCCCCTCCCTTAAGAAACCTCAAACTATACACATAAAAATCATTCGTTGTGATCACCTGCACCGCACATTTATAAATATATATATATATTTTATAAATGTGTTTATAATATATATATATATATATATATATATATATATATAAATTTTAACAAACATGTATGTACATAAAAAGCAAAGTTAAAATAATTAAAATAATGTGGCAAACATAAAAGATTTAATTTTCGAACTAATCGAACTAACTAACTTTCGAACTAATCTAACTTTAACTTTTCGAACTAATTTTAACTGTTTTAACTGTATCTGGTGTTTTATATATATATATATTTTTTTTTTATTTCACAATTTTTAATGAAGAATTAGATTTTATGTATTTTTGACTGCCGAGAAGTGAGAACTGACCTGATTGAATTAGAAACATATCTCTAATGAAATTCGAGGAAATACGTTTAGGTAAAATTCGGCCCAAAATGCCTAAAATTTAATAGGCCGGACAATGTGTTTACATCAGATTTGTTAATATTATTAATACCTGTATATCCAAGACAAGGAATGCGTAGCTAACGCTTTAAAATCATAATTTTGTTTAATATTTTCTCATACTAGATTTGAAAATTTTCATTACAA